TAACTTTTATTTGGTAAATATATAGGAAATTTTAAATTAAATGGAATTGATGCGTTACTAAGACGACCTTGACAACGAATTATCTCATCGGCTCTAATAAAACCTAAATCTCGTTTTAATTGATTATAAGACTCACTATTATATATATATATCCTTTTGAATGAGTTTAATCCACAATATTTCTGCATTATTTAATTCAAAAGTAGTTAGTGTAGATAAATCACTATTAAATTTTTTTTAAATTATACTAATAAAACCCAAAACTAAACCTGTAACCTTAAGAAGACGATCATATGCTTTAAAATTCTTAATGTTCATAAAATCTTAATTTACTAAATAATTTTCAGAGGTAATTCAAGTTATAATTTCAAACTGAGAATCAATCCTTGTTTGCTTAAATCAAATGAAGGCCAGGAAATTAAACTATTAAATAAAAAACTAGGACCTTTAAACCAAAGTTCATTTTTTTGAAAGGTACTAAATTTACAACCACGAGATATTTTTTTTTTTTTTTTTTTTCAATTTTTGTCAAGCAACCATTTACAATTAAAGATAATTTCCGTAAAATATTTAGAAATATTAAATACAAGTACATTTCATTATTTATAATAGTTACAAGACCGGAGAACCTGAAAAAGATAAAGTCTTTTCATCAGTAACCTTTGATAATAAAAATTGGAAATAATCGTGTATTGTTAGAAAAAATCATGTAAAGAATCGTGATTGGCAATAAGTTCGATTATGTTCTTTTTAAATTTTTGAGAGGTATTGGCTTCTTTAGGTTTACCACTCAGACTTGTAAAATGGTTCCATAGCATTGGGCCACGATAGGAAATGGCAAAGCTCGTAAGTTTTGATGAACGGAAAGGTTTTTTAAATCTTCCGGTAGATCGCGTGTTGTATCGGTTTAATGTTTTATGGAAAATATTTTCAAAAATCTTCGGCGTTTTTTTTGACTGATGTTGAAACATAAATTGTGTTATTTTGAAAATATTTAACTCATAAATATCAAGTGCCCTCATGCTTTTTAGAAGAGGTTTAGCATTTGTGAAGCGATTTTGAAAATGAATAATGCGTGCTGCATGATTCTGTTGTTTAAGGAGACAGTCGAGTTTAGATTTATTTGTACTACCCCAAACAATATTACCATAAAATAAATAACTATTTATGAATGCAAAATATAGTTGAGTTAGTGTAGATTTGTCTAAGATTCGTCTGGTTTTATATAAGATGCCAATACTTCTTGAGATTTTATTGCTAATATGATTTATATGAGCTCTCCAGGATAAGTTTTCGTCTATTAAAATACCAAGTAATTTATTTGTGAATGAGCGCTCAATATTGATGTTACTTATATATAGCATTGGTAAGGATTTTGGAATAGAATGAAACTTTCGCTTAGAATGGAATAAGAAAAATTTAGTTTTATCAGTGTTTAAAGATAAGCTGTTAGCGAAAAGGCAGTTTGATATTTGTTCTAGATCATTATTTGCTACTTGAAATAGAGAGATAATATTACTGTGAGAATAGAATAAAGTGGTGTCGTCTGCAAACATAATAGTAGACATAGTATTTGATGCTTTATATAGATCGTTGACATAGATTAAGAATAGCAACGGACCTAAGATGGAGCCTTGTGGAACCCCACATGATATTTTAAGTTTGTTTGTCTGAAAGCCATCATTAAGAGTAATAAACTGCTTTCGATCAGTTAAGTAACTGGTAAACCATTTATGGTATTCGTGGCTTATTCCAATATATTTTTGTTTTTCTAATAAAATTTGATGGTTAACGGTGTCAAATGCTTTTGACAAGTCTAGGAATATACCTAAAGTAAATTTGTTATGAGAAGATGCTCCACTGATAACATCAACAAGTTGCATAAGTGCATGTTCATTATAGTAATTTGATCGAAAACCATATTGGTATTAATAAAAAAGATTGTTATAGTTTAAAAATGCAAATACCCTATTGTACATGATACGTTCGAGGATTTTTGAAAATACAGGTAATACCAATATAGGTCGATAATTTGTAACCAGACTTTCATCTCCTGATTTAAAAATGGGTGTAATAATTGCAACTTTCATTTTATCTGGAAAAACACCTGTTTTAAGCGATTTGTTAAAAATATCTAATAAAACATCTTTAATAAGTTCGTAGCAGCCTTTGATTATGCTTGCTGAATTAGCATCATAGCCTGTTGCTTTATTTTTATTTAATTTTTTTATTGAATCATCAAGTTCTTTACTAGTGAGTTTTTTAAATGCTAAGCTTTTATCCGACTTTGATAGATAGCTCAAGAAATGTGCAGGAGTGTGTTTAATTTTGCTGGCTAAGTTTGGACCAATATTTACAAAAAACTCATTAAATTTTGTTGCCACCGATTTTACATCAGAGATCTGTGTGCCGTCTACAGTAATCACGCTTGGTAAGGCTTTGTTGTGTATTTTTTGTTTTCCAAGAATCTCTTTAATAGCATCCCACTTTTTTTTGCAGTTACCTTTTAGTTCTAACAGCTTGTTTTTGAAGTATGTAGTTCTGGCAATTTTTTTAGTTCTTTCATATAGACGTTTGTGAATCAAACGTCTATATGAAAGATTCGAATAATATTCGACGATTCGAATATTATTTGACAATTGTCAAATAGTATTTGACGTGTAGCAAATCTAGCATTATCTTGAATTTTAACAATACCTAGGGCTGTTTGTAATAAAACGGTTTTAGTCGGTTGAATAACAGATTTAGAAGCAGAAAGAAATGATGTACTTGCGACTGAAGTCAACTCGCCGTCTTTGTTATCATCTCTCATATTGTTGTTATACTTATCTCTGTTGTCACTGTCACAAATTGATACATGATGATAACGATTACATTAAAAACACTTTAATTTTGATGAACACATGTTGCTAAAATGTTTATTACTAAGACAACGAAAACAAAATCTTTTATCACTTAATATCTTTTTTCTAGCCGTAATGTTAGTTACTAATTTACACTGATGGGATTTGTGGTTATTTTCGCAAAATACACACACGGGTGAATAAGAATCATTTCAATTATAGTTAAAATTTCTTTTATCATATTTATTACTTGAATTGTTACTCGAATGAAACGTACTAGCAGTAAAGAGTAAAGTATTTAAATCAGAAGAATTGATGTGTTCACGCGCTCTTAATTCAGCTTTTAGTATATTAAACACATCTTTAATATTCCAAGTTTCATCTTCATTTAGTTTACGGCTTATAATTAAATTTAGCTCCTCGGGAAGCTTATCAAGTGTAATTGGGACAAGTATAGACCCATACATTGAAGAATCAATACCAATATTCTCTAAACTACGTATTTGAATCTCAATAGTATCTAAAAGTTTTCTTAACAAATTTACATTTTTTATGTTATTTAATCGATCAAGTTTTAAAAGTTTCTTCATATAAAAGAAAACAGTCAATTGTTTATTTGAGAATCGTTGTTTTAAAATATCCAGCGCAATAGTATAATTTTCGTTTGAAAGTGAGAGACCATTAATTGCGGAATATGCTTGCCCGTGAATTAAGTTCCTTAGATATGTCATTTTTTGAATGTTACTTAATTCATCATTTTTATTTATCGCACAGTCAAAATTTTCCCAAAAGGATTGCCAATTTTCCAAATTGCCATCAAATGCTTCAATTTTTAAGGTTGGAAGTTTAACCATTTTATTAGTTTTTAATGTTACTGTAGAACTTGCATCATCATTAGATTTAATAGAAAATTTATTTAAAAATTTGTTTATTTTAGAATTTTCTCTTTTGAAGCTTAATGTAAAGTCAATAGCTAAGTCATCGTTAATTTGTAATTCCTCCGCGTCATCTATTAAAACCGAAATTTCATCATCTAGAGTTTTAATTCTTTCAAATCTATCATTAGTCGTCTCTCTTAAATTAATTAGTTCTGATACATTTTCACTATGATTATTGTCTTCCATTAAATCATTGGCCTGATCGAAAATTTTCTTTATAGAATTAACATTCATAGTTCGCGCTTTTCCTTTTGTTGTTAGTACAGACATTTCACAAATCTGAAGTCAAATTTAGGGGAGAATTCCTAACTTAAAAGTATTTAATTCAACAAAAGGAAATGTAGTTAATTTTAGAATGTTTTATTTAAATAGAATGCTTTTAACGCTAAAATTTTCAAAGACTTTTTTAATGCTTGTAATAATTTGTTTATCAATCGACAGCGGAAAAAAATCAATAAAATAAATTTCAAAATAAAGGTCAATATTTTGAACGACTGTATTTAAACTTAAGAAGTTTTGCAAAAGGGTATCGCAGTTCTTGTCTAATTTTTTTTTTTTTTTTTCTTTTTTTCATTTGCATTTACTCCCAACAAGGCTGCAAGCAACCACTATTAAGTTGGGAGTTACTAGGAAAAAAAAGAACAGAGTTATAGAGCAAGGAAACGGTTGACAGAAGACTTGAAAAGTTGAAGATTGTATGAGTCAGGAAAACATAAAGATGGGAGAGAGTTCCAAAGGATTGAAGTGCGGGGAAAAAAACTAGATGAATAAAAGTTTTTAGAGCATGCAGGGACAGATACAGTAAACGAATGAGACTTAACTGAATGACGAGTAAAACGAGAATGAATTTTAGTTGATGGAACTAGGGATGATAACTCCATTGAGCAGTGACCATGATAGTATTTGTAGAAAAGAAAAAGAGTTGTTTATAACGCGCAGCAGTTTTGACAATTATAATTTTATAATAATAAAAAAATAATGAAATTCCAAAAAAATTTTTTTTTTGTCTATATAAGAAATTGTAAAATAATGCTATTTATAAAACATATTTTAAGTTTTTTTTTTTTTTTTTTTTTTTTTTTTTTTAGTTTTTTAATTTAATCTTAATACAATTTAATTTAATTTTCCTAAACATAAGATCTCTTCACTTAAATTTTTTAAACCTTAAATCACTTAACATAAACTATAATCACAAATAATAAAATAACAAATGACAAAATCACTTAGCTGGTATTGCTTGATCTTTAAAACGAGTGTTTTCTCCAAGAAGAACGTTGACAAATTTCACCTAAATAATAAATATAATAACCTATAGCAATCTTACCATAAATCTCAAAAAATAATCAACTATCACATTAAGTTGAATAAAAATAAAAATGACTTAGCTCGTTAAATCTTCTAATATCTTTTAAATCGTGGGCTCTATAAAGAGTGTGGGAGGGACTTTGAATCGCGTTAAGTGCTCAGCTCGTGGTGAAGAAGGAAGCGTAAAAGAGCAAGACTTGCTACGCGTTTAGTTAAAATATATAAAGTAAAGAAGCATACTGGCTGCTGCGTTAGCGAACTAACGCAACAGTATAAATAACCATCTACTTATACCATCTTAGGAACCTGCTCATTATACGCAACCTTCCCCTATAGATAAGCAAAGATAATTATTAAATATATAGAAATAAAAAAAGTATAAACTAAAAAAATTATATCGTAACAAATGTGTAAATTAGTCTAGTCTGAAAAAAAGCTCCCTAGTCCCAGTCTCCCTAGTCCAAACATGAATAATTTAAAAAAAAAATACATCAAAGGAATAAACGGAGCTGTCAAGCCCAAATGAAAAAATTTAGAAAGGAGAAAGGATAAAATCTTTAACAATATATATATCGAACAGATGTTCAGAACAAAAACAAAGACACTATAGTAAAGCATTATTATAAAAATTAATAATGATAACTTAGACACCGCGCATCTAAATATAATTAGCGCAATGAATATTATTATTATTATTAGTGCGCATAGTTACGCATTGTTACGCCTATTGTTCGTTTTGTTAATTACGGTTCTGTATTCTGTAAACTACGCTATTTCTTAGTTTATAAATTGTTTCTAAACTTTTCTAAGCGCAGTTATATATTCCAAGCGGTCTTTCGAGTAAAATCAGCTAGCAAATTGGAGCTGATACACTTATTTTCAAAAAGAATTGATGTTGTTCATTTTTTTAAATTTTAAAAATTTAAATAATTGTTAGTTTGTTGTTGCTTATTTTTATTTTTTCTAATTTTTATAGCCTGTTTTTATTTTTTAGAAGCAGTTAAAACTAAAATGACTGGTAAAATAGTTTTTTTAGTAAAATGTTTTTTTTTAGTAAACTGTTTCAGTTTTGTCGTTAGTCATTTTAGAACATTTTAAGCAAGTATTTTTTTATTTTTTAATGCATTTTAGAGAAGCTGATGGCTTTTTTAGTAAGTTCAATTCGTTTTCTAATTTATAGATTAAGATTGTTTTTTGTAAAAAGAATTAAATATAAAATAAAGTTTTATATAATAAATGTATTTAATATGAAAAGTTAGATAAATAAGACTGTTTTTGTGGTCATGTAAGTTTATATACATAAGTTTGCGTTTATTTCAGTCTATTTTATATTTCTCTATATCTATATGTATATTTTCTCTAAGGAAAAATAATAAGGATTAGAAAAATTGAAAAAACTTCTTCTGGAATTTGTCAAAGGAGTGTTGTGTTATGTTTCATTTTAAGGTATCTAAATATGTATTTATTAGAAATTTTTAATTTTGTTCTTAAATGGTTTCTTCTTTTTCATTACTTTGGCCGTGGCGCAGTGGTAGCGCACTTGCCTCAGAAACGTAAGATCCGTGGTTCAAACCCCACCTCTGGGCAAATTTTGCGACATCGGTTGGGAAGGAGGCGTGAACTTCACATTAAATGCTCTTCCGCGGTGCTCTGTGATAAGACTGTAACGACTTCTTGGGGCACCTTAATCAACTTAAATATATATATATATATATATATATATATATATATATATATATATATATATATATATATATATATATATATATATATATAATATATATATATATATATATATATATATATATATATATATATATATATATATATATATATATATATATATATATATATACTGACTGACATAACTTCATTTTTATTAACAATGTTGTGCATTTCAGTCTGCATTCTTTGTTACATTAAAAAATAATTGATGCTAATAAATGTTGTTTTATAGTTGTTAAAAATTTGCATATATGTTTGCATGTATATTATGCTCAAAGTTAAATTTTTTTTTGATAAATACGTGTATGCGGTGATATATGTTATATAGTTGTTTTATAAATGTGTTTATATAAATGTATTTTTATAAGTATTTTTATAATAATATGAAATGTATTATATTTAATTTGCGCATGATTGTTAAATGAGGTGTTTTCATATGTTAAGTGATATTAAAAAAATGTATTGTGTTTTATAATTAGTATATATGGTTATATAATGTTGTTTCCATGATTTCAAAATGGCGAGACTTGGCAAACGTGTAGAGCAAGATTTGTCAACCTTACCAGTCAAGCGATGTTACTTCTTTAGGTCTATGTCTTGCCTAGCCTTTAATACAAATATTCTGAATACAGATAGCATTATCTTTAATAATTTTTTGCGTAATGTTGTTATCTTTGGCTTATCTTTATGTTGGTGTCAGCTGTTAAAATTGATTAATAGGCAGTTTCATTACGAGAACTCACTGCTTTTATCTATTTACTAAAAGTCATACAAGACATCATTTCGCTATAAATACATTTTGTTTATCATGAAATAACAATATTTAGCAACTACTACTCAGGTACTCCCAACAGCTTATCTCTATCAGGTATATTGATTTTCAATTCACATATGATGTTTTTATTTGCATTTACTTATTCGTTACATTTTTAACTTCAGTTTTATGGTGTATTTATTTGCTATAGAAAAACAAATCATTTTGAATTTTTATGAATTTTTTTAAAATATCTACTCCAATCAACATTTAAAGTTGAATGTTGTATATACCATTTTTAAGTAGCTTCGAGGGTTTTTTGATGCTTTTCTTATTCAAGTGGTTTTGAAAGCAAGGTCTGCAAGCAAATTTGAGCTGAAAAGTTTTTCAGCTTTCAAGGAGAATCGATGTTGTTCTCTGTTTAATTTAATTTGTTTAAATAGAGTAGTTTTAATAAATAAATGTTTTTTTGTTCTTGGTTTTTTTACTTATTTGTTTTCAGATTCTTAAGAACTAGGCAACTTAGTAAAGCAAGTTGCCTAGTTATTAAGAATCAAAATTTTTAGACAGTCGAACTGTTACTGATTTGAGTAAGTTTAATATTTTGTTTTATTTTATATTTGATTTATTTTATATTAGATATATATTTTATGTATTTAACATAAAAAACTGACTCTAATTTTTGTCAGGTAATTTTATATACATAAATGCACCTATAAATCAGTATATTTTATATTTCTCTGTATCTATGTAAGTATTATCTCAAAGAAAAAATTAAAAAGAATAGAAAAAATTTGAATATCTATACATACATACATATAATACTTTAGACTGACATTGCTTCATTTTTTATATAAGATTCTGCATTAATTATTTTTGTGCATTAAGATTGTGCCTGAAGGTAAAAATAACTTTGCATTGTAGTCTAAATTCTTTGTTAAATTAAAATAATGTAAATAAATTTTGTTTTTTATTTTTCAGTTGTAATAATATAAAACGTTCATTTATTCAGTTATAACCGTAGTATAATCACTGGTAATATGTTTAATGATAACAGATGTATAATATTAGGCTCGAAAAAGTTATTAGTGTAAATGGTTATAGGTGACTTGAAATTGTTGTCATATGAAAGAGATAGATCTAGGCGTGATAAAATTAATTGTCGTTAAAATATAAGAAACTTTGCTTGATGAACAGAAAACTTACTTGCCAGAATTCAGTGTTAAGCGGTGTTGATGTCTATTATTTGATTTAACATAAGAGACTTTAAAATAAAGCAAAGTATGAATTTTACTATTTATATTAACAAATAATAACAGCTTCAAATTTAAATGATTTTAATTTTTTTTTTTTTTTTTTTGTAATCTTAAACTTAATTGTGTTGATTTTTTTTAGGTGTCTTTGTCATCACTTAATTATTTTGCTTACTGTTGAAACATGGTTTTAATTTTGTTAAATTAATATGATGCAAAATTTACTATATTATTCATTTGTCAACAGCTAGAAAGAAGCTGGAATTAATTAAGAAATGCTGGAAATTAGCTTTTAGTTTAGGTAAAAATAATTTTGCTTATAAGTAGCATAAACCAGTTACTGTTATTTATTGCATAACTTTTTTAATTTTTTAACATGCTGCTTTTGAAACACTTCCTCTCTCTCTTAGATGAGACTTAAATAAGAATTAGTACAGGGAGAATTGATTAAACTCATGTAATTATTGAGGTCTTGCGTATTTTTTAATACTGCGATGGATAATGACCATTTATAAGATATATTTACGAGTTGTTTGCTATTTAAAGATATAATATTTTAAATTGTCCCTTGGTTGTTCAAATATTGTAATAAATAAAATCATTTTAGTTTCACGTATTTTACTTTAGGGATCGCCTATATATTACGTAACGCGAAATTAAACATATAAACAAAAGAAATATCTCAAGAACCGTTTTTCTCTAATGGTTAACTATATGTTGCATGTTCAAGAACTAGAGCATTTAATAGCTTGTTTTTCAAAATTGATAAACATCTTATTCAAGGTATGGTAGGTAAAAAATGTTACATAAATATTGTTATATTTTCTAATTTTCTTAATTTATAGTCTTAAGATTTTCATTTCGAAAATTTACTGTTAAAGGTTGTGAGCACATTTTGTATGTATAACTTTATTTATCATTATTTTTTTTTTTTTTTTCATAGTTTTTGATAAATATATCTGTCATTCAACAGTTGTAAAATGTGTTTATATGTGTTACATAAAGTCATATTTGTTTATAGTTGTATATATGTTTAAATTATGTTGTTTCCATGTTTTCAAGGTGGTGTGTCTTGGTATTATGTTAAGCAAGTTTGTTAACCTTGCCAGCCAAGCGGTGTACTTATAGCAGAGGTGTGATTTGGCAGCATTTAGTGCCAGGTGGTGTTACTGCTTTTGAGCTAGATTGCGCTGTCTAGCTTTTTTTAATTATTCTAGAATCATATAATAATGTCTGTTAATGTTTAGCGAAATGTGGATGAGAGAGTATGCATACCTTAATCTTTAAATTTAGAGTGCTTTAATGTTCTAAATTTGAAATAATTGAATAACTAATATTGAATATAAAAAATATATACTTTATTAAAGTTTAGTAAAAAGATGAATATAGTTATCTTTAAATTGGTTTTTTAATTTTGCCTTTCATATTTTAATTTAGTTTATTATTTTCATTGGTTCTTATTGTTATGTGTTATTATTATGTCTTATTGTTAAACAGCTTACCTTCAAGTGGTGTCTATTGTTAAAAATGAATAACAGATAGTTTTATTATTGGAACTTACTGCTTTTATTCATTAACTAAAAGTCAAGACAACATTTATATCTTAGTTTGATTTTTTTTTAGTATTGTTAATGCTTTTGTACTTTGAAACAGATTTTATAGTTACATTTTCAATAAATCTTTATATTAACTGCAATTTCAAAATAGGTTACTATAATTAGGTAAATCGATTTTCGGTAATTGTGTGGTGGTTTTGTTTTTTTTTCTTTGTAATTATCATAATTTCATTACTATTTTATTTTAGATTTACGTTGGGACGCATTTATAAGCTTTATAAAATAAAAAAACCTGATTTCCTTTTACTGTAAATTTTTGTTAGTTAAAAAGATATAAATATATGCTATTAGTTAAACTTTTTTTACATTTTATCTATTTTATGCCTAATAATTTGTTGTACCTATTTTAGGGAATCTTTGTAAATTGTAACTAAAAACCTTTAAAAACATGAAGAATATTATAGTTTTGCGCATTTAATAACGAGTTACTTAAGTTTTATTTATGTGTTTAACTAATTAGTTAGCTTTGTCTGTATTTGCAACACTTTTGAGGAAAGAAAGAAAACATTCATATATATGTAAATCATTGTTTTACATTTTATTATTTTGGTAAAAGGTCTTCATCAAAAACCTAATTACTCTAAATAAAAAAACTCTACTCACCTGGCCACCATCAAAGCAAAAGAGGGGAGAAACCTATTTATTAGTGTAAAAATATTTAGGAAAATTAAATTTCGAACTACAAAAGGAATTTTTAGTAAATGGTGGCAAATAACCGTTTACTAAAAATTAATGTAATAAAGAGGCCAAACAAATAATATAGAAATGGTCTGTGTTAAACACACTTAACAAGACCCGGGTCAGGTCAACTTGGTTTACAAATTTTTATGTCTACGTATCTGTTATAACTTTTATTTTAGGTTTGTATTATGATGCATTAATGCATTAAGTTTACATACTTTTTCAAATTATTTATACCCATGTTTGATTGTAAATTAAATTTTTTTTTGTTTGAAACGTATTTGTACTAAGTTGCTTAGTTATTTATAATAAGCTTAGTTATTTTTAATAAATTATTTAGTTGTGTGCATTTAACATTTTTAAATTAACAATTTTCTTTAATAAAGAGAAATTAATTAAGGGGATACTGAAAAATTGATGACTCCTGAACGATATAAGTTAACTTCTTTTTAATCTTAATGTTTCATGTTACAAAAATTATTACAAGGATTTAGTTGATACTTCGTCAATTTAAAGCATGATGAAGTGTTATTATTTTTTGTCAGTAACTAAAAACGTATTGTGTTGAACTTAGGAAGGTCGATGAAAATGGTTCTGCCTTACACTGTTATGACCTATGTCAGTTGTAAGTTACTCAAATAATGTTAAGTAGTAATTGTAAATGTTAAGTAATAGTTGGTAAATTATTTTACCTCCTCATACTTTTTATGTTAATTTTACATATGGATTAATTTTTTCAAGCTGAAGGCATTTTTCTAAAAGAGCATAAGTTAAGGTTTTGCAACATTAAATTGTGGAAAACAGCCACTATAAATTAACTATGTAACAGACCGACCAAAACCCGTATTACGGGTTGCTTTTGCTTGTGTAATAGAAATGTAATAAAAACAAAGCAGGAGACTTTAGTAACCATAAATCTACATTGAATACAATACTACTTCAACAACCATTGGTGTGTGTATGTATGTGTATATTTGCATGTATGCATATGTGTGAGAGCTTTTATGGCGCCCGGAGCGTAGCGTTGACTAGGTGCCCCTTTAAAAATACATGATTAAAAAAAAACTTTATCAAATGCAATCTTACATATATATGAGTGCACATGGTTTTAAAATGAATTATGTTAATTGTGGTTTATTCCTGTTAAAATCATTTTACCGCAATATTATCAAAAACTGCATTTTTAAAAAAATACAACTAAGCAACACAAATACAACATAAACGCATTATGAGAAATTCTTTAGAAACTTAAATAAGAAAAAAAAGTTTATATAAAACACCCTTTTCTTGCTTCTTTCCTTCAAAATTTGTTATTATATCATCATATGACAGAGTCTTAGCTAACTCATTTTCCACTGAAAGCATCATGAGATCTCTTGAGAACCTGGTTCTTGGTCTTTCAACCATATGAATGAGAATCTTGAGAAATTACTATTTAAATTACTATGTCAAATCTTGACTTAACTTGATAAATAAAATGATTAAGAGCAACTTTGAAGATGTTTTCCTTAAAATAATGCTCTGGGCTCTCATAGCAGAAAGCTGCATTTGCAACTTCATCGTAATACCGTTTCGCTCTTTTCTTTCGTTTTGTCAAAAATTCCGTTTGAAAGCCTAGGGGACCTGCAACAGCTTTCGCTTTAGTCAAAAAATTATTCCATGATGAGCGGACACGGCAAAGATTGCTTATTAGCTGTTGAATTAGAATAACTCCGTTATCTATTGTTAGTGAACTTGACTGGAACAAACGGCTTACTTCATCTACTACTTGAAGAACTTTATACCAAAAGGTCAGAAGCACAAAAGTTTCAAAGGACTTAAAAAACATTATGAAAGACTCAGCTTGATTTAGCATGTCAGCAGTAAGGTCAAGATTCTCTATAGTAAAATTAAGGGCAGTAATTATTTCTCGTGGTTGTTTTGCTATTGGCTTAACAGCGGCAATCCGAGCTGACCACCTGGTATCGGAAAGCTTGTGAAGAGAGATTTCAGTCAATTGTTGTAAAATCTTCCACCTAGCCGGACTGCAGCTGAAAAACACGTAGAGAGCTGTTTTAATATATCTTTTACTAATAATCATCATCTACAAAAAAACCTTCCGTAAGTTGAAACAAACCTTTTGCAAAATTCACCACATTCACTTACTCTTAGTGGAAATAATTTGAATTCTGCTATTCCTTCTTCTGATTTTAGTGTTGATTGGTACTATCCTTTGATTTGAAAAGACTCCAATAATGACAACATTTGCTTGGGGGTATACATACACATCAATTCAACGATTTGCTGTGAAGTCGGGTTCAAATCCTTTGACCAATCTTTTATGTGCTTCCGTTTAGCACCTCTTCACTCTATTAACTTTCTCTTTATGTTTAAATTTTCTCCTTTTTCTCAGGACCGCACATTTTAAAAAGTAATTTCTAATCAAATTGACAATTTCCTCTCTCTTTACTCCTATGCCAACATTATTATTATTGGTGACTTTAATGCTCATCACACGAAAAGACTTAGCTCAAATGACACCTTACCCTGCTGGCACAAAAACCTTTAATTTCTGCATTTCTAAATCTCTAGTTCAGATAATTAACTTTCTGACTCGTTTACCTAACAAATCTAATTATTTAGCTTCACTCCTTAATTTATGTCTTGTCTCTGATCCTAGCTTGTGTTCAGTTTCTCCTTTTTCTCCTCTAGATGGTTCTGACCATGCAATCATCTCTTTAAATCTTTCAACTCGTACTTCCTTTTAGAATCACCCAGAAGGGGTCTGCAAAACAGCGTAAATGAAAAAAAAGGAAGGGGGTTGCAGTGGTTTATCTAAGGAGACACTAAATTAAAAGTATCATAAAATGGTGGATGTGAAATTAAAAGTGTAGATACTTTTAGGGAGATAGAGGATACTCAGAAAAACGTATGACAAAATACGAAGGAGGAAAGGGGGGGGGATTAAAACAAAAGTGTACGTACTTTATGGACAACTTCTAATTATATATTCTCATGTAGATTTTTATAACCTATCTAATAATAAAAAAACAGAAAAAAAAATGAAAAATAAAGAAGTTATTCAATTTTTATTGATTAGTGTGCGGTTTAACCCGGTTTTAATCTATTATTTACAATTTTTTGTAAACGTTTATCTTTAATTTGAAAAATAGACTTGCCAAAACCCTTCCAAAAAGCTTCCGCTAACTCGGGTTTATAATTTGTATATAAATTGGGGTATACTGGAATAAGCACACTGAAGTGAACATACATTGACTGACTTAAATAGAAATAGACGCAGTGATTGCACATATAAGGATTAAGGCATCGGTAGTATTGCATAGGAAAGGAAAATTTTATCATACTTGCGGACCTGAAGACACTTTGATTGCATATGATTCTGTGAAGCAATATTAGTGAATAGTTTTTCTTAAAAGTGGAATGTAATTTGTTAGATAAAAGCAAATAATTTGATCTCTAAAATTTAATTTGCAATAAAATTTTAGAGATCTATATGAAAAAGGTCCAATGAAAAACTGTCGTTACGAGGTGTTGTTTAAATATCACTATCTAGCACTATTGGAAGTTTATTTGGCTAATTTTACTTTTTCAATATTAAATTTTTATGCAACTGGTTTTTTTCCTGTTCCATATTATGTCTATTTAATAATGGAGTTTTATGCAAAATGCATTAGTCCTTTAACCAACAATTTGCTTGATGTGTAGTTTGTGTTAGGATAATATACTTCTTTTTTATTTGAGGCCGTTATACGTCCCACACGGTATATTATCCTAACAGAATTGACCAATTGTGCTTTTGTTTGGCTTCATAGGTTTTTATACTGTTTATATAATCATTACATATACTTTTGCACAGAATTATCAGTTCTTGTTCACGTAAGTTTATACTTGTTAGATCAAATAAAGTCGTAAGAGTTTAAGAGAGTGAGAGTTTAAGAAAGTGCTGCCTCTTTTTGTCAGTAAAGAAGTGTTTTTAAAAAAGTTTCTGATAAAATTTTCTAGTTAATGATTTATTGAGGTCGTTAAAACCTTTATACGCATTCCATAAAGAATTTATAAGATATAAGATCTAATTTAAAATGTAGAAATATATAAAATTGATGAATGCTTCTAATAACGCTGCAACTAAATACTGATACTAGTAACCAGGATGCATGCTGAGTCTAGTCCAGCCATACTTAAATAAATAACAGATATTACCCAACCCTATTCATCCAAAAAATAAACCTTATAGTTAATTTATTTCCTCCTTTTTTTACTTATTTGGTTAAATCAATTTTAAAAGCAATACTTTTATTAAATTTTTTTAATTTAGATTTAATAAAATAAACACTATTATACCTTTTTTTAAAAACAATTTTTTTAATACCTTTGTAATAAAAGTATTCTAGTACAAAAAAGAACTGAACATATGAATAGTACAGGGGAAAAAAGTATTCTTTTGGAAGTAAAAAATTACTCAAGTTTTGTAAAAATTATTACAAACATCTAAAGAAAAAATTTTAAAGGTCCAAAATTAAAAGAAGCAATAAACTGTGCAAAGAAGTTAACTGTTGTAAATAAGCAAGATTTTCTCAATCTATTTAAAATCGAACCAAATAAATGGAGCGACGATGATCATCATTGCCAAACGTTACATAGCAACAAAGTAATTAATATTAAGTAGCGTGTACACAAAAGAATCAATCAGATTCTACAAACTCTTAAAAGTATATGGAAAGTACATGAGGAAAAACGGTACAACCACATAATAAAAGTTTTGAGAAAGTATATATTGATCATTTATGAAAGTCTTTATAAAAAGCAAAAAAGTTTAAGTTTAAAAAAAAATTGAAAATTCTTGATTAATTTTATAAAGTTTTCATGTTTAACACATTTTTTATTTTAATATTTTTCCCTTAACTTTTTCGAAAGTTAAAATACAAAAAATACAAAAGTTAAAAAACATAATTTAAAATAAAAAAATAATCAATAAATAAATTCTCAACACTTTTTAAATGTGACGATATCATTTTTTCCCCCCGTGCTCTTCAACTGGTAAAGACGTTAAAAAATGTATGCATGTTAAGAACATAAATTTTTATCTTCCAAGTCCGAACTCAATAATATAAAAGGGAAATAATAAAAGATTAATTGAAACGGTATAATAACTTTTGTCAATAAACGTAAAGCAGCAAAAATTAAGGTACACTTGAAAGTCTTAAAACTGTGTGTTACACTGAGGTGATAAGGTTAAATGATAATTTTTTAAGGATAAACAAAGCAAAGTTTAGTTCGAAAAATTTATTATACAAAATAAGATTACAATTATTTCTTGAAAATTAAACTTGAATGCTGCCTTTTCTTTTTACGCTAAAACAAAAAGCGTTATAAATATTAGAGAACTTAGTTATAAATTTTAGAGAACTTAGTAAAACTTTAAATAACAAAAAAGTAAAGTTGTAAGACAAACAGCACTTACATTATTACTTTTTGCCTCTGCCTCTACTTCTGCTACCACCACCACCACCACCGCCTCCTCCTCCACCACTTCTGCTACCGCCACCGCCACCACCACCTCCTCCACCACTTCTGCTACCTCCACCGCCACCACCACCTCCTCCTCCACCACTTCTGCTACCACGTCCTCTAGGGTCAGCTACTTCATTTCTAAATCAAAAATAAAACTTAATTTTTTTTTAATCATCCAATAATTTTATAAAATATAGGTAAAAGTTATTTATAAGAACGTTTAGTAAGTATGTTAACGTAAGTACGTAATAAGTGCGTTTTAGCAGTAATATAGAAAATACCACCATATAAAAGAAAAACTTACATCTCTTTTTTTCCGTAACCATATCCTCCGCTGTATCCACCTCCGTATCCGCCCCCGTATCCTCCATCTTGTTCGCTATGTTTATGTAAAAGAAAACGTTGTGTTATTTATAGTTTAATTCAATCTAAGAACTAGTCAAAAAGTAGTTTTCCCAAATTCTTACGTTTCTCTTTTTCCGTAACCATATCCGCCATATCCACCTTCACTTTTATCTTCGTTTTCATTTCTAGATCAAAGATAAAAACATATTTTAATATTTAAAATAAAAAAATACATATATGTCGTGTTATATATATAATATCTACATTACCGAAGCAAAAGAAAGACTATGCGGTAGTGGTGTAGTGGTAGAGCGCTCGCTTCATAAACGAGTGGTTCCTAGTTCGATCCCCACCACGTCCCTGGTAGTACCGCGCTCAACTCGTTTCTCCGCGCAGCGGCCTTGTTCGTCAAGGTTCGTGTTTCAGAGTTATAGAGTTGAGAGAGGGTTATAGCCACAAATAAGTAGCCTCCTCGTCTGTAGTGGCCTTCTCGGCCTTGAGGAGGTGAATTAAAATAAAAAAAAAAAAAAAAAGACAATGTTTGGTTTATTGTAAAATGTTTCCAACAAACAATTAAAAGGTAAAATAAACCAAATATTTTTTTCAAAACTTGAAAACTAAAGATAACTTATTAAGAGAAAGAGAAGAACAATTTTTCAGTTCGTTTTTATTAAAGTGTAGTTTAGGACGCCTGATGGTGATAGGTTGAATCTAAAATGCATTATTATGCCAAAACTACGTATAATAATGCATTTTAGATTGCTCGTAAATGTTATTTGAAAGATTTTGTAGAGTAAATGCGATCAACTTTATTGAAAAGTTTGTTAAATGTTATACGAGTTTTTTTATTGAAGTTTTTACATAAAAATAAGGATTGGATAAAGATTTAACTGAAAACTATTGAGTGTGTGATGGTTTTCAAATAGCTTTTAAGAACTTTATTATATTTAATTTAGGTTTATAAGTATTTAAATTTGAAACAATAAAGCCTACATCTCTTTTTTGCCGTAACCATATCCGCCACCGTATCCTCCATAACCACCTCCATATCCTCCACCATAATCACTCATTTTGCTTGAAAATAAATCCTTGTTTTCCTAAAATGAAAAAATCATTTGTATTTCTAAACTAGTTTATTTAAAAATTACAAAAAAAAAACACGCAAGTTTAACAAAAACTAAACGCGATAAAAACGTTTGCAAAATATTCATATTCAAGTAAGAAATAATAATAATAATAAATTATAAGTTACTTCGCGATTAGATTCATCTTCGTTATCATTGTCTTTATTCCTAAAAGAGATAACATCAGCATCAGCATTTTGCGAATTTTGAAATACTGAAAATATTAAAACTAAAGATTTAAGTATTCACTTCGTATAGGCAATAATGTCTTCTGCATGCTTGAAAGGAGCTGCTTCACCTAACTAAAAAATAAGCCGCATATATTTTAAAAGTAATATAACTGTTTAAAATGTTACATTATAATATATATAGAAATATTAGGTTTTACAACAATATAAATAAATATAATCGTTAATTTTACTCACAAAAACTTGAAAAGAAATTAGGAACGTTACAAAAATGCAACGATAAATCATTCTCTTTGAACACCACTAACTTTATTCAATGTTATTTTTCTACGCTTTTTATACAATCTTCTTACTAATTACGAAAACACCCTGAAAGCATTTATTAAACCAAGAACACGCATTAATTGGAAAATTACAATTTTTAAACAAAAGAAAGTTTCCGATTTTAATTGTATACAAGTAAGAAGTTATTAAAGTAATTAAAACACCTACAAAACTACATCACTGTTCTAATACGTTTTTTTAAGGGTTGAGTGGGATGCATTAAGGCAAATAGTTTTATGCATTTAATAGTTTGGTATCTATATTTTAAAATCGCATGTTTTAAGAAAAAATCGCCAAATCATTCAAGGTTTCGGAATTTTCGGAAAGCTAACGAAATAATAGTTTTTTGGTCTTTCTTGGTTCGTTAGGTTTTAAGAAAAAATGGCCAAGAAACTCAAAGGCAACCTTTAATAATTGTTTGAAAATAATTGAAGTTACAAAATTTTACAGTTTAGGGAACGTTGTAATATTTTATTAAGGTGTGTCTTGTAAACAGCATTTCGTGACAAAAAGTTGTCCAAAATGTTTTGTATAATGTCACGACATTATACAAAACATTTTCCTTTCGGACCATTGAATCGAAGTATTAAATTTGTTGAAATCAAAATATTGACAATGGCATATATTAAATTATTTTACAAATGAAAAGATACCGCTACATTAAAATCATTGTTATAAATAACTTGCCTTTTTTAAAAAAGTGACTTGTGCCACTTTTGAAATAAACGGCTCATATATATTTGCATAATGTTATAGGTGAGCACCATTTTTTATTGCCCGTTTTGATGTTTAACGGCTGGTGACTAAAAATCCGGACTAACTTTAACTGACTCTTAAATGCTACAAGCTAAACTTTTCTTTTTCATTCTTATATATTTATTTTAAAGCTTATTTAATTCTCTATAAGCTAACTTACTTGTTTTTAGATAATTAATAAAAATTAAGATAATAATGATGTCCAAGCGGCAACTTGATGTCAACTTTGGCAATTGACATGACATTGAAAACATTTGCAATTGTTGCAACTCTGGAAACACTCTGTATTTTGATTGTTGTAATTGTATTGTACAGTTTTAAAATTGTTGGTAAGACGTTCAACTAATTTTTCAGTTCTAAGATGTCAACATCATTAAAATGTTCTAGAAAAACTGTGAGGTTTGTATAAGCAAGAAGATATAAGAAAACAGATTTACGAGTTCTATTTGAATAATAAATTGCAAGGTAAAAAGTTCACAGTAGATCACTTCAATGCTGAACAAATTCCAAGAAGCACTATCTATGATATAATTAAACGTGCTGAGAATGATTTTAGACACAAAAGAGTGCAAGGAAGTGGTTGTGTGGCCAAAATTATAACTCCGAAGGTGATCAAACGTCTGAGAACCATATTTGACCACAGTGACCGAGTTTCGATGAGGCAAGCCGGTCGAAAATTTGGATGCAGTCATTTACATGTTGTTAAAACTCTTGCCAAGTACACTGACATCAAAACTTATAAAAAACAGGGTATACCTGATCGACAAGAGAACCAGATTGAGCAAATCAAGACCGGCATTGATCGTCTTTATCGCGATTTTCAAGAAAATTGGTTATCCTTGACGACGAATCTTACTTCATGCTGTCACACTCAACGATAAACGGAAGCAGCATCTACTTCTCTAGCGACAGAGACAAGACTCCACCAAGCATAAAATTTTGCACAAAACGCTTGAACCATGCTGCTTGTCAGGCTGGCCGCTTTTGACTTAATTAAACTAAATAAGTAACTAAAAACTCTATTAATTGATATTTTATTTAATCTCTACCTTAAAAACTATGCGAGTAATGACTCTTGAAAGTATGTCTGGAATTTTGTTAACCATTCGGTACCAGAGAAAAAAGAATAAACAAAAACTTCAAAAAAAAAAAACTCGTAAAATAATAATATAAATTAAACAAATCAACTATATTCGTCTCAGTTCTTTTTTAAAAATATAAATATTTTAAATTATGTCTTAAAGTTAAACTCGAATTTAAAATTTTTTTAACATCAAATTTTGACGCACTGATCCTCAGACCCATAACATTTTTTAAGTTATTGCTTTAAAACATTACATATATATATATTTTTGGAATAAGTCTTATCACCCCTCATTACATAAACACACCAAAAGCATTTATCAATCCAAGAATGTCACATCATCTGGATGACAGTAGTTTGCAAACAAACGAAAGTTTCCAATTTAATTGCGTTCATATAGGTAAACACGGGCAACACTACATCACAGTTTTAAATGTTTATAAATAGTATTTTAGATTTTACATTAGAGAAATGATATTATATTATTATTTTTTTAATATATCGTTGTTTTAAGTACTCTTTCTTCTTGACATCAGTCATGAAACAAGTATATTTTATTAGTATGTTTATTTTATCATAACCAATAGTTGCCTACATAAATTTTTAGTCAGCAAATAACAAAATATGTAGTCAAAATACTTTGTCAGAAGCGGCCAGCCTGACAAGCAGCATGGTTCAAGCGTTTTGTGCAAAATTTTATGCTTGGTGGAGTCTTGTCTCTGTCGCTAGAGAAGTAGATGCTGCTTCCGTTTATCGTTGAGTGTGACAGCATGAAGTAAGATTCGTCGTCAAGGATAACCAATTTTCTTGAAAATCGCGATAAAGACGATCAATGCCGGTCTTGATTTGCTCAATCTGGTTCTCTTGTCGATCAGGTATACCCTGTTTTTTATAAGTTTTGATGTCAGTGTACTTGGCAAGAGTTTTAACAACATGTAAATGACTGCATCCAAATTTTCGACCGGCTTGCCTCATCGAAACTCGGTCACTGTGGTCAAATATGGTTCTCAGACGTTTGATCACCTTCGGAGTTATAATTTTGGCCACACAACCACTTCCTTGCACTCTTTTGTGTCTAAAATCATTCTCAGCACGTTTAATTATATCATAGATAGTGCTTCTTGGAATTTGTTCAGCATTGAAGTGATCTACTGTGAACTTTTTACCTTGCAATTTATTATTCAAATAGAACTCGTAAATCTGTTTTCTTATATCTTCTTGCTTATACAAACCTCACAGTTTTTCTAGAACATTTTAATGATGTTGACATCTTAGAACTGAAAAATTAGTTGAACGTCTTACCAACAATTTTAAAACTGTACAATACAATTACAACAATCAAAATACAGAGTGTTTCCAGAGTTGCAACAATTGCAAATGTTTTCAATGTCATGTCAATTGCCAAAGTTGACATCAAGTTGCCGCTTGGACATCATTATTATCTTAATTTTTATTAATTATCTAAAAACAAGTAAGTTAGCTTATAGAGAATTAAATAAGCTTTAAAATAAATATATAAGAATGAAAAAGAAAAGTTTAGCTTGTAGCATTTAAGAGTCAGTTAAAGTTAGTCCGGATTTTTAGTCACCAGCCGTTAAACATCAAAACGGGCAATAAAAAATGGTGCTCACCTATAACATTATGCAAATATATATGAGCCGTTTATTTCAAAAGTGGCACAAGTCACTTTTTTAAAAAAGGCAAGTTATTTATAACAATGATTTTAATGTAGCGGTATCTTTTCATTTGTAAAATAATTTAATATATGCCATTGTCAATATTTTGATTTCAACAAATTTAATACTTCGATTCAATGGTCCGAAAGGAAAATGTTTTGTATAATGTCGTGACATTATACAAAACATTTTGGACAACTTTTTGTCACGAAATGCTGTTTACAAGACACACCTTAATAAAATATTACAACGTTCCCTAAACTGTAAAATTTTGTAACTTCAATTATTTTCAAACAATTATTAAAGGTTGCCTTTGAGTTTCTTGGCCATTTTTTCTTAAAACCTAACGAACCAAGAAAGACCAAAAAACTATTATTTCGTTAGCTTTCCGAAAATTCCGAAACCTTGAATGATTTGGCGATTTTTTCTTAAAACATGCGATTTTAAAATATAGATACCAAACTATTAAATGCATAAAACTATTTGCCTTAATGCATCCCACTCAACCCTTAAAAAAACGTATTAGAACAGTGATGTAGTTTTGTAGGTGTTTTAATTACTTTAATAACTTCTTACTTGTATACAATTAAAATCGGAAACTTTCTTTTGTTTAAAAATTGTAATTTTCCAATTAATGCGTGTTCTTGGTTTAATAAATGCTTTCAGGGTGTTTTCGTAATTAGTAAGAAGATTGTATAAAAAGCGTAGAAAAATAACATTGAATAAAGTTAGTGGTGTTCAAAGAGAATGATTTATCGTTGCATTTTTGTAACGTTCCTAATTTCTTTTCAAGTTTTTGTGAGTAAAATTAACGATTATATTTATTTATATTGTTGTAAAACCTAATATTTCTATATATATTATAATGTAACATTTTAAACAGTTATATTACTTTTAAAATATATGCGGCTTATTTTTTAGTTAGGTGAAGCAGCTCCTTTCAAGCATGCAGAAGACATTATTGCCTATACGAAGTGAATACTTAAATCTTTAGTTTTAATATTTTCAGTATTTCAAAATTCGCAAAATGCTGATGCTGATGTTATCTCTTTTAGGAATAAAGACAATGATAACGAAGATGAATCTAATCGCGAAGTAACTTATAATTTATTATTATTATTATTTCTTACTTGAATATGAATATTTTGCAAACGTTTTTATCGCGTTTAGTTTTTGTTAAACTTGCGTGTTTTTTTTTTGTAATTTTTAAATAAACTAGTTTAGAAATACAAATGATTTTTTCATTTTAGGAAAACAAGGATTTATTTTCAAGCAAAATGAGTGATTATGGTGGAGGATATGGAGGTGGTTATGGAGGATACGGTGGCGGATATGGTTACGGCAAAAAAGAGATGTAGGCTTTATTGTTTCAAATTTAAATACTTATAAACCTAAATTAAATATAATAAAGTTCTTAAAAGCTATTTGAAAACCATCACACACTCAATAGTTTTCAGTTAAATCTTTATCCAATCCTTATTTTTATGTAAAAACTTCAATAAAAAAACTCGTATAACATTTAACAAACTTTTCAATAAAGTTGATCGCATTTACTCTACAAAATCTTTCAAATAACATTTACGAGCAATCTAAAATGCATTATTATACGTAGTTTTGGCATAATAATGCATTTTAGATTCAACCTATCACCATCAGGCGTCCTAAACTACACTTTAATAAAAACGAACTGAAAAATTGTTCTTCTCTTTCTCTTAATAAGTTATCTTTAGTTTTCAAGTTTTGAAAAAAATATTTGGTTTATTTTACCTTTTAATTGTTTGTTGGAAACATTTTACAATAAACCAAACATTGTCTTTTTTTTTTTTTTTTTATTTTAATTCACCTCCTCAAGGCCGAGAAGGCCACTACAGACGAGGAGGCTACTTATTTGTGGCTATAACCCTCTCTCAACTCTATAACTCTGAAACACGAACCTTGACGAACAAGGCCGCTGCGCGGAGAAACGAGTTGAGCGCGGTACTACCAGGGACGTGGTGGGGATCGAACTAGGAACCACTCGTTTATGAAGCGAGCGCTCTACCACTACACCACTACCGCATAGTCTTTCTTTTGCTTCGGTAATGTAGATATTATATATATAACACGACATATATGTATTTTTTTATTTTAAATATTAAAATATGTTTTTATCTTTGATCTAGAAATGAAAACGAAGATAAAAGTGAAGGTGGATATGGCGGATATGGTTACGGAAAAAGAGAAACGTAAGAATTTGGGAAAACTACTTTTTGACTAGTTCTTAGATTGAATTAAACTATAAATAACACAACGTTTTCTTTTACATAAACATAGCGAACAAGATGGAGGATACGGGGGCGGATACGGAGGTGGATACAGCGGAGGATATGGTTACGGAAAAAAAGAGATGTAAGTTTTTCTTTTATATGGTGGTATTTTCTATATTACTGCTAAAACGCACTTATTACGTACTTACGTTAACATACTTACTAAACGTTCTTATAAATAACTTTTACCTATATTTTATAAAATTATTGGATGATTAAAAAAAAATTAAGTTTTATTTTTGATTTAGAAATGAAGTAGCTGACCCTAGAGGACGTGGTAGCAGAAGTGGTGGAGGAGGAGGTGGTGGTGGCGGTGGAGGTAGCAGAAGTGGTGGAGGAGGTGGTGGTGGCGGTGGCGGTAGCAGAAGTGGTGGAGGAGGAGGCGGTGGTGGTGGTGGTGGTAGCAGAAGTAGAGGCAGAGGCAAAAAGTAATAATGTAAGTGCTGTTTGTCTTACAACTTTACTTTTTTGTTATTTAAAGTTTTACTAAGTTCTCTAAAATTTATAACTAAGTTCTCTAATATTTATAACGCTTTTTGTTTTAGCGTAAAAAGAAAAGGCAGCATTCAAGTTTAATTTTCAAGAAATAATTGTAATCTTATTTTGTATAATAAATTTTTCGAACTAAACTTTGCTTTGTTTATCCTTAAAAAATTATCATTTAACCTTATCACCTCAGTGTAACACACAGTTTTAAGACTTTCAAGTGTACCTTAATTTTTGCTGCTTTACGTTTATTGACAAAAGTTATTATACCGTTTCAATTAATCTTTTATTATTTCCCTTTTATATTATTGAGTTCGGACTTGGAAGATAAAAATTTATGTTCTTAACATGCATACATTTTTTAACGTCTTTACCAGTTGAAGAGCACGGGGGGAAAAAATGATATCGTCACATTTAAAAAGTGTTGAGAATTTATTTATTGATTATTTTTTTATTTTAAATTATGTTTTTTAACTTTTGTATTTTTTGTATTTTAACTTTCGAAAAAGTTAAGGGAAAAATATTAAAATAAAAAATGTGTTAAACATGAAAACTTTATAAAATTAATCAAGAATTTTCAATTTTTTTTTAAACTTAAACTTTTTTGCTTTTTATAAAGACTTTCATAATTGATCAATATATACTTTCTCAAAACTTTTATTATGTGGTTGTACCGTTTTTCCTCATGTACTTTCCATATACTTTTAAGAGTTTGTAGAATCTGATTGATTCTTTTGTGTACACGCTACTTAATATTAATTACTTTGTTGCTATGTAACGTTTGGCAATGATGATCATCGTCGCTCCATTTATTTGGTTCGATTTTAAATAGATTGAGAAAATCTTGCTTATTTACAACAGTTAACTTCTTTGCACAGTTTATTGCTTCTTTTAATTTTGGACCTTTAAAATTTTTTCTTTAGATGTTTGAAATAATTTTTACAAAACTTGAGTTATTTTTCACTTTAAAAATCATATTTTTTAAAGCCCGTGTGTTGGCAGCATAAAGGCTGCGCCCTTATGTCACGGCTTTGTTTGTGAAAGTAATCGAGTTTATGTTGTGATTTAGAACTCTAACATTTAATATGTATGCGTACTTATATATAAAATAGTATTATTTAGGATCTCAAATCAGACGTTTATTTGTTTATGATAACATAAAGATAATAATTATTTATGGTTTTATTTCTTCACTGATGTGGTACTTTTTTATCTGTTTTTAAATTAAGCCATTATTTAATAATTTTATTTATTTGTCCAAGCAATCTTTCTAGTAAAATTAACATGAAACCATTTTAAAAGCATTTTATATTGATCAAGAGTGTTTCAACTAAACTTTTTTCAAATTTTATTTTAAATCATTATAGGACTTTTATATTGTAAAATGGTTCCTGCTTATCCAAAGCTCCTTCTAATATATTCAATATGTTATATAATTTTTTAAAATACTTTAGAATAAAAGAGTATGATTAAGAAAATGATTAGGTTGTTTTTATTATCTTTTAATTAATTTTATTTATTTTTATAAAACACTTTTATTTCAGTTTAGTTTCAGTTTAGTTAAAATGAATACTTGTTCAATTTGTCAACTAACCTCATTTACAAGTTTATCCTGTGCTTTATGTACAAAAATTGTTGGCACCAAATGTCAAGGTATTACAATCAATGAATACCATGTGTGAATACAATGCTGTGTATAAAACTTGTGCAGGTATTTATATATATATATATATATATATATATAATATATATATATATATATATATATATATATATATATATATATATATATAATTTTAGATAAAATATGGATAATACCTTAACAAAATTCTGATGAGCTTTTTGTTTTATTTTTGTAAAAAAATTTAATATATAAAGTATATTGATTAAATACAATTTAGGCTTAGGTTAATCATTCATTAGGTTACACTAACTTTAACATAATAACTTTAATCAACTAAACAAAATAAAAGAATGCTCTTATCCGTCTTTTGAAATATAAAAAATGGAGATTGAGAATAGAGATAAAAAAAATATTTAATATTTAATGTATAAACAATATAAAAATCATAAATAGATTCTGTTTTCTTACCATTTTTCTTTGGCAGTTAGAGTTTTTCCCATTGAACTAGTTTTTTTTTCTTTTTAATCCGTCCGTCAGAATTTTCTGAATTTTGTAGAGCATACTCATTTGCACCGATTTGGTGGAACAAGCTATATATGTCCATGCTCATTAGTTTTTTTTTTTAATGGAGAGCCATGGCCATCAAAATCTGAGTCGGACTCATGAATTTTAGATTCAGAAAATGATTCTTCTGAGTCTGATCCACTACCTCTTGCTACACCAATTTCAATTTCTTTTACTTGTTCTAAATTAGATTTGGAACAAAAACGGTAGAACTCTAGATGGAGTATTTCTTTAAACATATTATGATTCTTGTCTTCAACAAACTTTAACTTGAAACGAGGATCAAGCATCATTACGATTTTTAAATCAACATTATCCTTGTATTTTTCTTAAGTTCATCAACAACAGTTTTTATTTCAGTTGCCGTGTCACAAGCGTAGTCTAGAAACTTTTCCATTGCATAGATAAATAGTATAATCTCTGATATACATGCAGTTTCTTTACTCGTGTCTTTTGTAGTACTTTTGAAGTGTTTTAATATGCATACAAGCATTTCAGCAAGTTGCCATTGATTTTCCGTAGGATTTTTTGCATTTGTTTGATTTCTGGTAATGCAATACAATGTAATAGCTTTTTTCTGCTCAATGAACCTTTCAAGCATATAGTATGTCGAATTCCATCTTGTGGAAACATCTTGAATTATGTTATGCTCTGCCAATTTTAGTTGACTTTGAATTTCCTTTAGTTTAGCCACAGCACTAGATGAGTGGTGGAAATGTCCTGCTAATCCTCGAAAAATTTAATGGCAGCCATTACATTGGCTGCATTATCAGTTAAAACTGCATGAATTTTTTCATTGGGAATTTCCCATGATTGTAGCGCTTCATTTATGAACTTACTTATATTGTGCCCTGTGTGCAACTCAGGGAAGTGTGTAACTTGTAAGATTTTTCCACCACTCATTTAGTGCTGTGGCTAAACTAAAGGAAATTCAAAGTCAACTAAAATTGGCAGAGCATAACATAATTCAAGATGTTTCCACAAGATGGAATTCGACATACTATATGACATGTTTAACTGTAAACTCAAGCGTTACAAATCTAGCTGTTAAACTGCAATACGATTGAATTGTGTGCTGACAGGTCCAACCATCACTAGTTAAACTTAGGAAATCTGCTTGATCAAGCTCATATTTTACTTTGGCTTTTATGGTTTCATACATCAGTGGAATGACTTTAGAGAAATACTTTCGACTAGGTATTGTATAGTTTGGAGCTAAATTCTTTAAAAGTTGGGTAAAACCTTTATCTTCAACAATACAGTATGGCTGCAAGTCTAAACATATCATTTCTCCAATAAGCTTGGTAATAGCTTAAGCCTTAGGATTATCAAGTTGCCACAATTCTTTTCTTTGCAAAATCTCCCGCAGTGAGACCTGAAACAAATTCAACGAATTAAAAAAATTACTTAGCAACTTGTAACTAACAATGGCCAGCGATGGATCTAAGTGGCGGATAGAGGTATGTATCTTTCCCCCCTCACCAGAACATTTATTATAATATTATAAGCTTAGATAAGTTAAGTTAAATTTTTTCTATACAAAAGATGATTTTTCAACAAGACATGCCCCATCCAGTCACAAAATCATGAATACTGAATAGTAAATGAATTCAGCTACAGTTAGCTGAGAGACCTGTGTCGATGCTTTTTGAAAAAAGGCAATTGTGTTATTAGACACACGCGAGCTTCCCTGCGTTTCATCTGTGGCAGTGCTGGTAATGATTTGCACTGATTCAGCAGAGCTTGTTCTATCTGAGCATATTATTCGAGTAGTGCAAAATTGTTATTTAGACTTTTCATTTGGATTTGGTAAAGATTCGTGGTTAACAATTTTCTTCTGAGAAAGAATCATGATATGTATATTGTAATGTACTTTTTTCAGATGGTTTTGTAAATTTGTTATTGACATGTTGTGTGCGTCTTTACTTCTTCTAGACAAAATCTTCTTGCAAAGTATGCAAATAGCTTTGCCAACATCTTCATCACTCACTTTAAAATAACTCCGTAAGGGATTTTTACTTCGCGATGAGGTAGCCATAATGCGCTAATGGATAACTTAAAGTTATAATAAAAATTCTGAAAATTGAAATAAAAAGTTTAATTATTTTCTTACCTTAAATAATATTTATTGAAATAAACAATATTCGTTCAATTCGTTCAAAGTCGTAAATAACCAATTAACCTATATTTGTAGAGCAGGTATATTTACTTTTACTAATGATCCAGCGTACAAAATCAAAAACAAATGCAATTGGCTTACATTTCAATTGTGCTTTTCTGTGTAGTGTCTTTTCTGTGAATTGTCTTTCTGTGCAGTGTCTTTCTGTGTTCTGTCTGTGACTTAGTAAAACAAACTTTCTGAATAAAAATTGTTTCGTGCATTAAAATTAACTTATTGTATAGATTTTTAAAAATTTCGAGAATAGTTAACTCTCTTAACTCTCGAGCGCTATGTTTTTTATTACTTAAAATCCGGAGGTTTTAGTTACATCTAAGTAATTTCAAATGAAAATTTATTTCCAGGTTTACTTTTTAATTTTAATTTAATATTAAAAAATATATAATTTAATATAACTCGGATTTTAGAAGTTGATGCTAACTAATAACTAAATGCTAAAAAAATTAAATTTTAATTATTTTTCATTATTTTACTACCAACTAATGCATAAATAAATTTTATTGCTAAGCTCGCCTTATTACTTAAAATCCGGAGGTTTTAGTTACATCTAAGTAATTTCAAATGAAAATTTATTTCCAGGTTTACTTTTTAATTTTAATTTAATATTAAAAAATATATAATTTAATATAACTCGGATTTTAGAAGTTGATGCTAACTAATAACTAAATGCTAAAAAAATTAAATTTTAATTATTTTTCATTATTTTACTACCAACTAATGCATAAATAAATTTTATTGCTAAGCTCGAGTGATCATAACTAAATATTAGGGTTATGGTATTTAATCAGGCCTTGTTTTAAAGCGTTACGCCTAGAGCGATTTATGTACGCCTTAAGCGTTTTTTACGTACGCGTAGAGCTGTTTTGGTTAAGCTACTTTTTATCATTTTTTAACTTTTAAATTAGCGGTAACATAAAAGAAGTAATTAATTTTCAAAAAAACCACATTAACTTTTAAATAACGTTATGTAAAGGTATTTATTTAAAAAAAGAATTTACTTACTAATAATTATTGTAACTTTTCATTGCGATATATCTTTCCTTTTTATAGCAATTAATTTGACGCTAAACTTTTTATCCAAATATTTAGCAACATGAAAAATTGTTTGTCAATCCTTAACTACAAATTTTTTGCAATGTTTTTAATAAAAAGTAGTAATTTTTTAAAGTTTTTAGTAAAAAACTTTTAAAAAATCTATATTCCATATTTATTAATACAGAGTATAAAAGTTTTTTGTAATATAGATTTTTTATGAATTTTTTACTGAATTTATAATAAAAAACATTTGCAAAAAAATTTGTTATTAAGAATTGACATTTTTTTAAAATAAAATCTCAAAAAATGTCTTAATATTTTTGTTATCATGATAACAAAAATATCAAGACATTTTTTCGAGATGTTAAAAAAAGTGTCTTTGCTTTTCTTATTAGTTTAATAGTATATAGCTTATAGTTAGTTTAATAGTATATAGCTTTTCTTATTAGTTTATTAGTATATAATTTAAGTTATGCGGGGGGAGGGGGTCGGCACAGAAAAAAAAATTACCTGTTACTCGCAATATTTGAATGAAGAAAATTTGTTAAAATTCTTCTGCGTGCGATTCAATAAGTTTTTTTTTTCATAAATCAAGTTATAATATAAGTTAAAGAAATCATGAGTAGACTACAACATCCGCTGATGACACTAATATTACGTTGAATATATTTATATAACGGAGGTTTTATTATGCACGCGCACATTACAGGTTCCGTTAAATAAATACTAAGGCACGTTTTAGTTTAATGACAGTCTCCATTTTTTACTAATGAATATGTATTTTTCTTTATAAAACAAAACAAACTAGTATATAAAAACCTTGTATATTTCTATTATCTCTAAATTGTTTAAAGTTCGAATATGGATTGTATTTTGAAGGACAAAAGATTTACTTTAAAAACTTTTAAATCTTGGGACTTTGCTGATGCTTTGCCGATGCGATGATCACAGAAAAAGAGAAGACTTACGTTATTAAAATCAAATGTAAGTTATGTGATCTTCATCAAAATAAAATATTATCCAAAAACAATAGTGCCGTAAGGGCAACTGCCCAACGGTTTATAAATAATACAAGTCATGTTAAAATATTTTAACATGTTACTATATTTTAATTAAGTTGATATATAATTAAAAATAAAAATATAGTTCAATAAATAAATTAAATTTATTCTTAACAAAGATTACCTCATATTTATTCTTTTTTTTATTTTATTAAGTTAAATTGCTTACAAACGAAAAAAAAAAAGAGTTTTGTAATTATACGTAGAATGAAAATACTTTTGAGTTTGTTTATAAGTTAAGGAACTTAATTTTTAATGAACAAATTTTTACGAACGTTTATTATAAACAGATACGATTCAAATTATTAAATATACTTAAATTATTTCAGTTGAGTATTTTTTTAAGTTTGCACAATTAAAGTTTGGCGTAGAAGTATTTGTTTTTTTGTTTTAAGAATAATTAACAAAAGAGTTTGCATAGTTAAGACTTTTATATTTAATTTAATTTTTTTTTTAATTTCCTAAAATTAAAAAAAAAAAAAGATTTAATCGTTGAAAACGATTTTTCTCAGTAGCTCTGTTTCTTTGTGATTTGTTTAAAAAGTTAAATATTTTTACAATAACATAAAAACTTTATGAATTAAATTCCTAGCGAACGCGTTCTTAAACTACGTATCAAAAATATGCACAAAGCAGGCAAAACTTTTTTATATTTTTATAAAACGCAAGTTTGAAACGCTTTTAAAAATTTTTTAAATATTCAAAAATTTAAATTTTTCTTTGCTAGTCAAAACAAAGTCGTTGTTTAAATAATTAACATGGGTTTGCGTTTATCAATGTTAATACTTTTTGTTTACTCTAGAAATTTTTAAAAATAAAAAAAATCATTATTATTTTTTATTCAATAACGATTAAAAACAATTATTCAAAAACAAATTTCAGAAATAATTAATATATATATATATATATATATATATATATATATATATATATATATATATATATATATATATATATATATATATATATATATTACTAAATAATATTGAACTAAAATTAATAATAAAATAACAATTGAAAACATTACAAAATTTTCATAATAAATTTATATTTAAAACGTTTATAGTTTATATTTGAGTTAATTGTTAAATTGAACTAGTTTGCGGTTATTTATTTATTGCGGTAGTTAAAACACTTAACGTCTTTAAAAAAAAATAAAGATAATTTTATGATGTCAAAATCGCGTTAAGCTAATGCATTAACCACTTTTTTATTTAAAACAAGGCCTGTTTAATTATATAAAGTTTACTATAATGTTACAGTTTAAATCAGCTTATATTGAGTGATTATAAAAAAAATCAATCTGTTTCATTAAGTAACTTTACTTTCTATCCGCTATCATGCCGTTTTTGGCCGCCCTACACACGGCCTTGCCACCTCCAAAAGCCGTTGCTGGATTCATTTAATCTTCACAACTGTATAGATCAGAGGCTTATTTAAATTTATCAGAAGAAGAAAAGAAAAAGAAGAATTTTGAACCTTCAACTACGTTTTATTCGGAAAACAGACGTCGTGTGAATGTTTAAAAAATGTCTTCCTCAGTCGAATGCCAGCTTAGTAATGTCCATTTTTTTGCCGAAACCAATGATTCGGCAAAAAACGTCCATGGCTTCAACCAAACCGAAGCTTCGGCAAAATTGCCTAAGCTTCTGCAAGCCGAAGCCGAAGTTTCAGTACATCCCTAATATATATATATATATATATATATATATATATATATATATATATATATATATATATATATATATATATATATATATATATATATATATATATATGTGTGTAAACAGTAAATTTATATTTTTATTAATTTTTTTAGTTTTTAAATTGTTTACAAAAGACCAGTTGGAAGAGGTTGCAGTGTCTTCAACTATGAAAATGATTTTTTCTGGAACAGAATGTATTTAAAAAATGATTGTAAAATTTATAATTATCTGTTAGTAAGCAACCAGGGTTGATACTTGACCATGGCCAGGGCCAAAATTGATAAAATGTAGGCGGAGCACAGTTGTGACTAAGGCTAGGCTTGTGACGGGGGTTGCATAAACATTTATACATCCTAAAGTTTGTTTTTTTTTTTTCAAAATTCATGTTATATTTTGTATATATATATGCATATGTAAATATCATTACAATTAACATGATCATCATAATCATAAGTCCCATCATCATCATCTGATCATCTTCTTAATCAGCAAATACTACATCATATAATTACTAAAGTTTATATAAATATGAAAAGATTTTGTGTGCCATGATCTAAGTAGTTAGCAAGCATATATGTTTATATCCATAATATGTATGATACTGGAAGCTTTTGTTCCTTCTGAAATTTTTTTTCTGGAACATTTTAAACCATCTTGAGCAGTTGCTTTATTAAACCATAATATTTTTTTTTTTACAATAACATCTCTTTCTTAAGAAAAAATGTCTTGTTATTGCTCTAAGAAGCCAATGTTAAAAAATCCTGTCTGATATTAAACTCTGTTACTCTCTAAATCTTTTCTCAGATGTTGGGTTCTAGAGACTTTTAGTTAGTCTTCAACTTTACAATTTCATTAACTTTACATTAACATTAAAGTAAGTCTAACATTTAATCTCTAATTTATGGTCTGGTCTTCTTCACCACAGAATAAAGTTGTTTGCAACAAATCTTACTCTTATTTGACTCTTGAATCTTATGGCCATACTATTATATAATTATATAATATTCCTGCCAGTTCAACAGATGAACCCATTGTTAAGCATTGAAATCACTCAGGTCTAGTGCTAAATTTAGTTCTCAATTAAATACTTCTACAGTTTGTGCTACAGACAAGATTTCCATCATAGTCTTAAAAAAGTTTTCTCTAGAACTCTCTTCAATTTTTGCTAAACTTTTTAAAAGTGCTTAGCAAGTGGTTCCAATTTTTCAAAACTCTAGAAAACACTCTGACCTCTCTAATTTTCCTATGATTAGTCTTCACTCTGTTATTAGTTTATTTATATAAAGGTTTTGAATTTATTAACTTCTATCTGAAGTATTAAAGTTATTCTACACTCTTCTATATTTCAAGTAACTTTAAGGGTACCAAAATTTTACATCTAAAGTGGCTCTATTTGCTGACAACTCAACTTTATACTCTTGTTTTGACAAAAAAAACTTTCACTTTTTGATTGCTTAGAATAAGCAGCTGCTTTTTAATCTGATCTCTTTTCTGTAACAGCCTAAGGCTGTTACAGAAAAGTGCAAGGCTTATAGATTTACATTCTTGACTTATAATTCCAATTTTTGTTAGACAACAAAACTCACTTACTGCAAAAAAAAAATTGCAATAATATTGGTATTATGTTGATGAATAACAATCCTCTTACTCTCAGACAAAGTCTAAAAGTAAATAGACCTGTTTTTTCTGCCAAGATAGAGCCACTCTCCCATTGTTGTAAGATTGCATTTCTTTTTTTTTTCTGCAAATACTATCATGGTCAATGCTCAAATGAGCTATCATCTCTATTACTATAAACCAAAACTCATTCTTGCTTGGCTTCTTATTCAATAATGTACATCTTTTTACTGTATTTGTTCTTTCATGGTATAAAAGCTTTTATTAATCCAGTTTTTTTCCTTGCATATAAAAAACAACTTATAACTCTTACCCATCTTCATGTTTTCCTTTTTTATACAACCTACAACTTTTTAAATATTCAGTTAACCGTTTTCTAGTATTTTAACTTATTATTTATTCTAAAGTAACTCATAACTTAATAGTGGTTGCCTGCAATTTTGTTGGAAGTAAATTAGAATTTAAAAACATATAAATATATGCCAGTGTTTAACAAATAATAAATGTAAGCATAAAATTATAATATGTTTTTTTTAGGTCCAGCTATAAACCCCTGGTAAACCTTATAATTTTGCCAGAAGCAGGTATGCAAAAAGTTTCATTTTTAGAAGGGACAGGGCTGAAGCCCTAGTCTCTTACTATATCTGTTAACAGTTTTCAAATTCCACTTTTTTGTACATATTTTTGTTACACACTCTCATAATTATGATGTTATTTTCTTTTTAATTACACAGTTTCACACACAACATTTACAAAGCTGGTGGTTCTATAAAAAATAAAGGAAAGAATAAATTTTAAAGTTGTCATCGGCTAAAAAGGTCTGAATTACTATTTTTAATTTTTTAAAAAATATGTCTAATTTTGAGTTGTAAATTTGTTATCAGAAGATCAATTAAATTGTTTATATAATTCATATAAAATGACTTAACAAAAATTTTTTTGTATTCAACACTGCGTTTCATCAGAAATAATAAAAATAATCAAATTAATAAAACTTTAATTTATACCAAAAATTAAATTACAGGAAATCGCAAATGTCTTAACTACTGCAAATTTTCACACATTTGTGGAATATGTTGACACTGTTATAAAAAGAACTATTTAGAATTAATAACTTTGCTTTTTTAAAAAATAATTTTTAAAAGGGGCGGGTTTAATGTAATTATTACTTGAGCTCACTTTTTTTTATAGTTTTTTAGGAGAAGCTTATTTTCATGCCTGCATTTAGAAATTAATTCCGATTTTTTTTTCAAATAAAATTCTTAGTTTGCACGTGTAATAATTTTTAATTTTTCTTGTAGGCATAGTATGCAATTTTTGAAATATTATTATATGCAGGTGCTGTACCAATTCAGTATAAAATCATCAATGTTTTGATGATTTTTTACTGAATTCAGTATAAAATCATTGTATATATTTTGACAGCATGGTGTCTTTTGAATACTTTTCATTTTTAAAGGATTGAAAAAATGTTTTTTCCATTCACACCAATATATTGTTTATCATGAACATTCTTGGAGGAAAATATTTTGCCAATCATAAGCAATCCTTTAAAAATAAAAAGTATTCATAAAACACCAAAATATATATGGGAATTATAAGATAAAAATATCAACGATTTTATACTCAATTGATTGTTGTCTAAATTGAAAACCCTTAAAGAACCTGTTTCTAATAGCAATTGCTATAAGGTGACATGTTTTGTTTGTGAAAATTAGGTTTTTTATTACGTTATAGTTTTAATTTTTAGTTTGATAATTAATTTTACTAGTTTTTAAAGACGAAATAAAAAAAGCAATGCTGTTTTCAAGACCTGTTCTGATAAAATTCTATGATGAGAGTTAAGATCTGAGCTCAAATAATGAATTTTCTTCTGAATCTTTGGCTGAAGATGATTTGTTAAAAAATAATTTTAACAGAGCAATTCATAATGACAATAGTTTTCTGTGTAGTGATTCAGACGATGAAAACCAAGACTGGCTAAGTTTACAATATTTAGATAAAAGACTCCCTAAATCAAGTAATAGTTTTGATGCTAGAAGTAGCAAAAATAATCAGTTTAATTTTGCAGATACAAAAAATGAAAAAGATGGTTCTGTTTCTGATGAGTTAAATGTTGACTTTGATGATGGTAAAGATAAGTTTTATATGACTTCATCTAAAGAAGATAAGTTAATAGATGAATTTCTGCTATGGCTGCAAAGCATTGAGGGTGGTATCAAACCACTTTGCACTGCCTTGAAACATAAAATGTTGTTTTAGGAGCTGTATGCCATGCAGCAAATGACAATGTAAATTCAATGACAATCTTGGATGTGTTTTTTTTTTCTTGGATGTTAAAGATGCAAAAAGATGAAAAGCAGCCAGGAACAAGAAAAACATGTTTATTTTCTCTACAACTTGTGTTAAACTTTTTTATTTCTAAAGAAAAACTTGAAATTATTTCTAATGAAGAATATTTCAAGTTAAAAATCTCTATGAAGTGAAAGCATAGTTTGTGAAAAGATATTAAGGAAAGACAGCATGAAAAAGACATGTATAATTTCCACAACTTCCTGTCTTCTGAATAAATAAATACATTAAACAAATCTGACTACGTTAAAAGTGCCAAAGATGCTATTAAAGCTTCTAAGTTTTCTAATTTTATTATTACAAAGTCCAATTATTTTTTGTTATGTCTTATTTGCTTGCATACACCTTTCATAATAATGTCACAAGACCAGAAGCTTCAACCAATATGACTTTTGGTGAGTTTTGTCGAGCATTTTATAAAGAAAATTGTTACACAGTCATTATTAAAAATTTAAAACATCGTATAAAAGCTAGTATTTCGAAAAAAACTCAATGGAATTTCTCATCCCACAGGTAATGGAATTATGTTTTTAAGTTATAATGGACTCATTGATGATCACTACCCAGTTTCTGGAATTATTTTAGAATCGTGCTTTAGGCAAAAAGGTAAAAGAAGTTTTAACTAGAATGACACCAACATTAGTAAGGAAATTTACAACAAAAATTTATCAAAGTTTTCCGTTTGAAGCAAAATGTTGCACATCATTTATGTCACAGTTTGAAGTGGCTTAGAGCTAATATGCCTTATTTGATAAATGTAATGCCGTATCAAGTACAATTAATCAACTGTGTTTAATTAAAAGATCATTAACAGAGCAGCAGAAAAAAACATGCATTTGTTTAAACCTGAAATAAACAAGGGGTCTATATAAGGGGTCTAAATGAAGTTTCTTGTACATTAAGCTCCCCTATTTCACAAGAAATTCGAAAAAAAAAAAAGTTACATTACTAAAAGATGTGACAATATTGAAAGTTTGATTGACGCTGCAAAGGAAGTTGATCTATTTAAATCTGAAGATTTTAACCTAGATGACTATATTCCGTCATCTCCAGATAATGCATGATAACAGATCTTTCAAAAGAAGCCGAAAAGAATTTACTGAAGAAGATAGAAAGCCTATTTATTTGCATTTATCTAACGTAATATATTCAAATGAACCAATAATGAAAAACAAATTTGTATTATTGTTAAAGAAACCAGAACTAGCGGGTCTTGTAAAAAAGTTTCATTTGCTATCGATAAAAATGAGAAGAAACAATATAAGCATTTTGTAAATAGTCTTTTTAAGATTTAGGTGTCTTTAAGTAAAAATGTGTTTACTGGATTTTTTTTAAGTATGAAAAATTTAATAGTTTTGATTTGTGGGGCAAAAGATGAAAGTAGTTAGTTCATTTCTGCATTTATTATGTTTGCAAATAACACGTTGTATGTTTTTTTGTACAAAAATGAATAGTTATATACAAAAAAACTTTTTTAAATTTAGGCAGTTTCTTGACATAAGCCTCTTTTATCATTAAAGGACTATTATACTACACAGGAGAAAGCAGTATTTGTGAATCAGGTACTATATATGTGACTTTTTTAATTCAGGTACTATGCATGTAAGATTTTTCTTTTAAAATTCTGTTTTGATATTTTTTAGAAACTTTTTAATTAGATAACGTTTAATACAAAAGTCGCATTCATATCTAAAAACAGGTAACGTGACACCAGGTTTTTAAACAGGTCAAGGTGAGTTTTATCGCATTTATTTCAATTTTATTTTATTAATGATTGTTTTATTTAACTAATCTTTATTTCGTAAATACCTAATATTTACCATTCAAATTTAAATATTTTTTGTAAATAAAACATTAAATCATCGGATTTAGTTGATGAACCTATTGAACCTCGGATTTAGTTGATGAACCTATTGTCTACTGTTGAAACATGATTTGATTCAGTAAATTTTTATTATTTGAATTTTACTGTATTAATCATTAGTCAACAGTTAGCGAGAAACTGGAGTTCTACGTAAATGAGGTAAAAATAATTTTGTTCACTGGTAACATTCCAAAACAGTTTTTGTGGTTTATTGTTTTATAGCTATATTGTGCTACTATATTGTTTTAATGATAGATTAATTGATGAACATTCCAATCGTCACCGAAAATTGAATTTTCCTGTTTGTTGCAGGTAGGTTTATAAAATTTATGTTTATAAAATCTAATTTCTTATCTTGGTACTGCGATAATACTTTTTTTGCTTTTCATTGAAATTAACTGTTTAAAAATTATTCCTAGGCTTGTTTTCTTTTAATTAGGAGTATGGTAGACTTAAAGAAGCAGTTCATATCTAAACGACACAAACTGTCAAAAGCAAGAGAAATAAAGAATAAAAGAGTTTTATAGCGACAGAACTTATTTTAATTGAATAAATGTTCAAAACTTTAGTTTAGAAAATATCTTTTTTATGCATAATGTGTTGTACAAAGTTGTTTTGAGTCAAAGTTGTTTTGAGACCTTTATCGGTGTTAAAGCAAATAACAATTTAAAAATTAACATTACAACTTAATACACACCAGTGTATAAAGTTTTCATTCAAAGAATGACCACAATTCTATCTATGAAAATTAGCCCGTTATATACTACTGACATATATATGTGTTAAGTTTTACAAAACTTGAAGCTTATAAAGTCTATAAGAATACAGTATTTTAAGTTTACAAAGAAAATTTAAGATTCATACGAGACTTTTACTAGAACTAAAGTTTACAAGATTATTTTTTTAAACTATCATCCTTTATCAAAGTTAAGTCGCGCTGCTTTTACTTTACAATGTTTTTTGCTGCTGTTTTGCTGCTGCTTTCACTCTACAATGTTTTTTGTTCCTAAGCAAGTAGTTCTTAACTTCTCCTCTTTTTTTATCTTTTGCGATGACTTTCTTTTGTTGGTTGATTTGTTTTAGGGTTTTCTTTTCTTCTGACAAACAAACTTCATTTCTGATTGGAGTATTAGTCAAAATCCTTGTTTTAAATCGCCTTCTTTTAACACTACTTTTTCTAGCAGATGCTTTCTGGTAAGGTTTCAAAACTTCAGGTGAGAGTAATGAAGCAATGCTTGGTGATACTTTGTTGAAAAATTTGTTTCATGATGTACTACAGATATTTCAAGCTCCATGCCATCAACATGTGCTACAGTTATTTCAGGTTTCAGAAGAATTGTGTTTACTACATTTAAAGCAGCACGATCTGTAACTAATGATGTTAAATATTCATCATCTTTAAAAATTTCTGGATTAAATGGCTCAATGCCAGCTTCATGAATTCCTCTCTGTATATTAGATGGTGAGAAAGCTTTTGTATATGGTTCGCAAAATATTGAAACAATATCATAAATGGTCATAGGTCTTGGATTTGTGACCATCCAATTATCACACGCAGCATTGTAAAAACTTTTCAATTATCCAAAAACAAATTTATCCAATGGTTGAAATTTATGGGTACAATGGGGAGAAAAACTTAGCATTGTAATTCCATGTTGAATTGCAAGATCCAAAGCTCTAACAGAAATATGACGTTTATGGCTGTCCAGAAGTTACAAAACTGAAGGTTCATAAGAACAGTTTGAATACCTCACAAAATGTTTTATTCATTCTATAAAAAATGTCTGAATTTATCAAACCAGAAGAATTTGCCAATCCCACGCATCCAGAATGACCTTCCTTTATCATGTAATCATGAAATTTGACCCTAGGAAAAACAAATAGTGAGGAATAGTTTCCAATTGCATTTGAAGCACAACGTACAGTTACTAACTTTCCTCGTTCTGTAGATGTGAATCTTCCTACTTGTTTACTTCCTTTACCTGCTAACACTTTTACTGGTTTTTGTACCGTTGTTAAACCAGTTTCATCAACATTATATATGCAATAAGGATCAAACTTATATCAATTTCTTACTTTTTTTAGATTTTGGAAAAATTCTCCTTCAGTGTGTCGATTAAAGGCAGTTGATCGAGCAAAGCTAGTTGCTACAGATGTTCGTAAAGACGACTCTGGTTATCTTTTCATAAAACCTTGCAACCAATCAATCCCTGCAATTTTATTCTTAATCCATGACGAAGAGCAGATTTTACTATTTTTTACAAACTCGTATGCCTATAATTGTGTTGACTCAGTTGAAAGTCCATAGTTCATTTTTGATGCAATTAGAAAATAACTTGACAAAATTTTTTCATCTTCTGCAGTAAAAACTTGTTTATTGTTGTAATTAGGCTTAAAAGATTCATTTGGATTGAGCTTCTCTTTGTTAAAAATGTCTTTTTAAACTCATTCGATTTATGCTAAACTTGCGAGCTACAACATTCACTGGTCTGCCCTCTAAAACTTCATTAACAGCTGCTTTCATTGTATCACATGATATAGCAACTCTGTCTGTTTTTTTTTCTATACCTAACCATTTAAAGATCTAAAAATTAAAAAAAAAGTAAAATAAAATGATTGTTTAAAAAAAATATTTCATATAATAATATTATGTAAACTAATTGTAAAACTTATGTAAAACTAAAAACTAATGTTAATATTAGTTTTTAACACTATTACATTTTAAAAATGAAATTTTAAAAATTTATATAAAGAATTTTTATTCATCATAAGTTTAAATGTATAAAATTTAAACAAAAAATTAAAGTCATAATTTAAGTTATATGGGGCACTTTGATCCTCCGATCAATGAGCCCCGCATAGTCAACGATCAATGTGCCCCATTAGGTACAGCTGATGTATTAATGTCAATAACTTTTATAAATACAGTAACTAACTCAAAAAAACAAATTTATGATAAACTTAACACATATATGGAAAACATATAGGGAACACATAAATGGAAACTTGACTTGTGTTGTAGCTTATGCTGACGACATCATTCTTCTTAGCTCTACTCTCTCGGGCCTAAAAGAACTTATTTCAACGTGTAACATATACAACAATTTAAACGGGATAAAACTTAATGCTTTAAAATCGGAACTTTTGCTCTCTGGAAAAAGACAAATAATGAACTGCACAATATCTCTAGACAACCATCAAATTATACTTTGTGAGAAACTTAATCATTTTGGCTTTACTTGGGATACAAAAAAATCAATTTTTGCTTCACTAAATAGAATGAATATTAATAGTAGGGTATCAAATTTCAGGGCAACAGTGCAAACTTTTATTCAATCTGGAATCCGGTTTGCACATCCAAGTTCTATTATCCAATTATATAAATCATTAGTAGTTCCGACATTTAACCCACGGTCTAGAGATCTTTGAAAATACACGCGGTTCAATGTTGGAATGTAAAAGAACAGCGAACAATTTTTAAAAAGACACTCGAAGAAAACATTCCTAAATAATACTTTTTTTTATCTCTTTTTCTAAGTTTGTGTTTTTACCTTGTAAATTTATTTTACAGAGGGTGATTAATAAAATATTAATAATAATAATATAACATATGAGTTTAAAATAAAATGGTTGTAAAGTACCGAAACTGCAATTTTGTGGAAGCCGAAGCTTCGGCCGAAGCCGAAGTTATACGTGATTTAAAGCTCAATATACTTCACCACGGTGATTTGAATAATCAAGCTGCTTTTAAAATTATATATCAATGTTTTAGGTTTGAATGTTTTGGCCAACACACCCATTTTAAGAAAATTATAAAACAAAACCAATATTATAAAAAATTTAAACAAATTTTGTACAAAAATTTAGAGAGTCTTAACTCTATATATCTAGCAGGTTTAGGAAAGATTACATCGCTAAATCTTAGACATTTACTGATACTTAAGGTAATCTATGGTCAATTCTTTGTAAGAATTCATAAAAATGTAAACACGTAAAATGTAAAAATATAAAAGTAGTCATTATTTTAATTTGAACATAAAATTTGGTATTTGTTTTTAATTTTGCTAAAAAGTTGAATCAGTTGAACTAAGAAGCTGCAGTCTATTATTTAGTTAATAATAATTTATTCAATGAAAGCAGGCATATTATAATTTAAAAATGCAATCTGTTCTCCATGTTCGGGTAATAGTCTGTTTCATTTTGCTTCAAAGATGTTTCCAAATGTGCTAAATAAGCGTTCACTTTTTACAGATGAAGGTGGCGCGCATAAAACTTTCTTTGAAAACTTTGGCAAATTCAAATTGTAAGTATCTTCATTAGAGCAAGTGTAACGGTATGCACCCCACCACTTATAAGGGCATTCATTTTTTGGCAGTATTGAAAGGCTCAAGTAGAAGTTGACTTCATCGGTGTTGATACATAAAATATAAGTGATAATTTTAGGTTTAAACTTTTAAAATATTACCTTTTAAAGAAAAAGAAGTATTTTGAACGTTCAACTACGTTTTATTCGGAAAACAGACGTCGTTTGAACGTTTAAAAAATGTCTTCCTCAGTCAAATGCCAGCTTAATAATGTCCAAGTATACTGTAACATACCAAAAAATATTTTAAAGTAATTAAAGATTCTAACCTATACCTTAGAATCTTAAAAAGGTTTAATGCTTAGAAACTTAAAAATATTTTTTACCGAAGCCAATGATTCGGCAAAAAAAGCCCATGGCTTCGGCCGAACCGAAGCCAAAGCCGAAGCTTCGGTGCATCCCTATTGTAAAGTTATGCGGAAATCTAATTAAAAATTTATTTGAATTTGTTTATAACTTTCAAAAATCAATTTTCATGATGAAAAACTGTCTTTTCAATTTTCTTAACGCTGAAGTCGATCTTATCAAAAGTTATTACGATTAAGCAATGAAGGGTAATATAATGGTTAATTAAATTGCAGTCTCTGTTAAATTAAGGCACAAGTAAACGAGTAAAAGCTAAAAGATCTTACTGCCCCGGTGATCAATGAGCCCCCATCTCCCCTAATTTTTTTTCATAACCTTAACAGGTTCTAATTTGTATGGAGTTGCTGACATTTATATGCATGTAATAAGCAATAATAAGAGTAAGTCTTTAAGAAATCTTTTTTCATTTTCTCATGCCAGACTCATGTTTATACAGTATCTAAAGCATTTGATAGCTAAATGGCCTTTTTCAATTTCAAGAAATACTAAAACAATAGTTAATATCATATTCCTTACCACCATAGTTTTTGTTATAACTTGAAACTTTTTTGAGGTATGAAACTGGTGTTTTCATTCACAGGTATCGAAAGTAAGAATAAAAAGATGTGATAATCCGTTTTTTTTCAATATTATGATAAAAATCTAACTTTCCAAGACATAATGGGCACAAACCAACATTATCGATAATGTCTTTAAAATTTGAGTGTTAAAAAAAAACATAGCATTGAATACCTTGACTACAGTTTGCATCTAATTCATATTTGAGTTCGTCATATTAAATT